AGGCACACCCTGGGAGGGCATTGAGGGGGTATGTGCCCCTGGATCTGTGCGGGTGGGGGGGGCTTCAGCTTGGACTGGGGCTGGGGCTGTGCCACACTCTTCCTGGTGTGTGGAGGCTGTGCTCGGGGCTGCGGGGCAGCACTTGGGGCTGTGCTCCTGGTGCATGAGGGCTGCACTTGGGGTGGGTGGCGGCAGTGCTGGGAGGGAGCTATGGGGGGGGCTATGGAGAAATTTGGGGTGGCTGTAGCCCCCTCCTCATAACCTCTCTCCCAGCGCTGCCTCCACCCACCCTGAGAGCAGTCCCCACACTCTGGAAGCACAGCACCAAGGGTGGCCCCACAGTCCCAAGCACAGCCCCCACGTGCTGGGAAGAGCAGGCTGATTTCCGATACAATCAATTTTCTTTATAATCAGTGCTGATCTGATATTGGACCAATGTATCAGTGTACCTCTAATTCCTAGGGAACATTACTGACAAAAACTGAAGCACTTATGTGCTTTTAGGTATCTAACTTGTTGGGTGCACCTCATGAACTCTTAGAATGAGGTGTCTAAATTTCACCTAAGTCCTAATTAGATACCTTTTGTGGCTCCAGATCTAGGACTCTAGATTAGATTCTAAGAAAATACATATTGTTAGAAAAGAATTCCAGAGTGGTTTAAAATGTTTAGGTTCATCTTGTCTAAGCATAACCACGTACTTTAGGTAAGGTCATGAAGTCAAAAAATTACAAGGAGACAATTTTGTCATTACAATCCATTCTTGTTACCTAAATAAATTTTGCTAAAACAAAGGATACCTTGTCAAGTTCTTTGTTCCTCATATTCTGTAAGATATCTTGACAGTAGCTGCAATACTCATCAGCAAGCAAAGCAACCTAGGGAATGCAAACAAAAGAGTCTATAAAAAGATCACATAGGACGAGAGCTAATTTTATTGATTACTGAATGCCAAAACTTACCATTTCGTAGGAGTGTTTCTTTCCCAGTTCTTCCTCCCAAGAAGAAAATCTCCTGAATTCAGTCAGAGATGTTCCAAATTTATCTTTTTCTGTGTTCAAATTGATCCCAGGCTAGAAACAATTTACAAGCTTGCTTTTTTAATAATTCCATTCGTTATATGTCTTATATTTTTATATTTAAATAGAAAGAAAAATTATTTTGCTAATATTTCTCCTTGGATGATAACTTTATATTGAAATACCTTAATACAAGTCACTCAAATAGTTTCCTAGAGGAATTCCTGTCTATTCATTACAAGTTGGCACAGGGTGAAAGGCACAAGGGTGGGCTGGCTAGATGTCCAGAGCATAAAAAACTATAAGATTTATTTTAACTAAAAGGATATATTTAGTGACGTACATATCCAAGCAAATTTTCTATAGTGGAGATATCATAATCGTGACATTCTAAATGGTGTTAAGAATACCCAGATTTGCTATAGAAGGGAAATTCTGCAGCAAATTTTTCATCAGCTTGCACTGCATACACTTGTAATGCACTGAGTACCACATTTGGATGCTCTACAAAAATAAGCAACATTTCCCCTGTTCTTGGTTCCCTCAGTTTGATCAGTTTTCTTTTACTGATCACATCCTGTTGTCTGACTTTCAAACATTCTAATGTCAAAGAATTGTTAACAAATAACACAGTTATTAGAGAAATGTTTGCCCACGTAGGTGAACTTTCTCTCAATCCCTGCTAGTAAAAAATGTCTCCTGTTTTATCCTTTGCAGTATGTGGGTGCTTATCATACCAATAAACTCTAATTAAATTGAAATGGCATTGGCTCACTAGCCCAAAGACTTGCAGGAGTGAGTTTTTTTGAAGGCCCCATACAAATCATGCTGTGCCCATAAATTTACACGTGGGGTCTATTAACCACGGTGGTCATAGTGAGCATAGCCACTGCAGACACTGGTAGCAGAAGGTGAAGGGGTGGGAAGGTGGAATATGTAACCACTTACTGAGACTAAACATAGAGAAAGAATACTTCAGAGTGCATCACAGGCAAGCTGTAGTTCATTAATGCATGACATACAGTGGTTTTTAGCTAATTAAACACATGGTTCTCTGTTTTATAGTACGCCTGATATGTCCAACACTCACTGTTCCTTTTGTGTAGTCATCATTCTGATAATAAGCTACATCCTCAGAACTGGATACATCTGCACTGTAGTGAAATGTACAACATAAAAACAATTTTAAAGTTGTGTCAGTGTCTTACATCTTTAGGGAGAAAATGAGATCTCTGTCTAGGTCATTAGCTTGAAGCTGACATGGCAGTTTGTGGGATAAAAAACCACTCTGCCTTGCCACCCAGCCCCACAATTTGTAGTTTATTCATTGATTTTCTAATGGGTCCGTCTGATCTTTGTTTTACGAAAAAAACTTGAGCCATTATACAAACTGCATTATACTGGTCATTTTAAAGTACAAAGATGCCTGCTCAAGTTTTTTGACTTCCTATACAAATTCATTGTTGTGTTAGTGGATGTAACACCTTTGCAACAAACCAGCTAAACAAAAGAATGGCAATGATGTAAATAATAAAGGATGCACTGTTCATCACCCTAATTGCTTCAATTGTGTAACATATCCCCTTCCCCCACCCTTTAACTGTTAAGTCAGATAGTAAATTATTCAGACCAGGGAGTATGTCTTCAACTTTATTTGTAGTGTTTCCATGGTGTCCCACATCCTTGACATTTCAATGGATTTACTGAGGAAGCTGGTGTGACAGACTGAAATGCCAGGAATGTGTACACAATATACAGCACTGCCTCTTCTACATCAGATCTAAGCAGCACCATTGTACAGCTCTCCCCCCAGCCTGGCTTACTGTAGCTGATCTCAGACAAGGCAGGGGTAATGCTGACAGAAAGAGAGAAGCAGTGTGAAGAACTTGCCTCCTCCATAACAATGCCATCTGTTGAGGACACCTGCTCACTGACTGCAAAATCAGTTAGTGTTTGATGGTCCTTTTTGGACTCCTCAGTGTTTCTAGGGCCATTTTCAAGGCTGTGAAAAATATGCACTTGCACTTGTGACTGACCAGAAGCCTGGATTAGGGCTGTCATCAGCTTCACCATAGCATTCCACACATTTATGACTTTACAGCTTGGTTACTGTAAATCATTAGAAATAGGGGAGTTGCCACAGACTCTGTAAAAGGTCTTCCCAGGACAAAAAGGAGCAGCTTGTCAACTTAAAAATGCAAGTCACTACAAACACATCAACACAGTGGCTTGCTGTCTGCATGTATTCCTCATTAAGGACAAGGGCTAATTCAAGGTCTCTGCCTGGAAGTGCAAAGTTATCCATGTGGGATTGTCCTTAGCTATTAGAGAAATCTCTCCTTCTGCCACTATGACCTGCCAGGAAACCTGCGCTCCACCAGAACAATGAAGCTGTCCACCAAAGGCCATTGTGGGGGACCACCTTATGTTTGTCAGTGTTCAGGAATATATTTAACTCCTTTACTCTGGTGTCATCACTAGCTTGTTCTCTAGATGTTTTAAAGTGTGTGGATGAACAAGAAGAACAATGCAAAACTAGAAAGATTTGCTGTGTTTTCTTTTGGTATTTTTGCAGGTCTCTGAAAAATGTAAAACAAAATTAATGAATATTTCCAGTTCCTGCTCTGCTCAAGGAGGCAGCCAGCTGTATCTTGTACTGCTGCTACTATGGCAACACATATCAGCAGTACTCTCGCTCAATAGGCTGACTGGCACAGCATGCTGGTTTTGGAGCTACCCCCCTTCATCAGGACCAGTCAGGCAGCCTGCGAGTGTGAGAGTTGCTGCTGCCTAGAAACAGACAAGGAGTAGCGCTCTCGTGCTTAGCAGCAGCCAGATAAAAGCTCAAGGATAATTAGGTGTAAATACCTGTCTGATCTCCGTCATGGAAATATTACCATCTATGTGACTCTGCGGCTAGCAAACATTATTATTGTTTACCCAGTGCCCAAAAGTACACTAGGGCTGCAGAGAACAGCAGTGAGCATAATCCCTGCCCTGAAGAACATGCTTGACAAATAAAGAAAAAAATGCAAGTGAAAAGGAGAAAAAGAAACAGAGTTGGGTAGAAGGATGGGTAACAAGATCAGAAGGTTACCAACGTATTTTGACCCATGCCTGTTAATGAATTTGGGTGACACTGTGGAGTGGGAACGGGAGTTGAAATGGGAAATAGAATAAAGGGAAGAGGAAGAGACTACAGAACTGAGGGAAGGGAGGAAAGGAAACAAAGGAAGAATGGAAGGAAGGGGAGGAAAAAAGGGTGGAAGGTGAGATGAAGTGAAGGGATTTTTTTTTTGCTCCTTCAGTTTTAAGGTCTGTTAAATAATTCTTAGATCTGGTTAGATTCCCTGGCAGATCCAGCTCAATTTCAAATTTGGTTCATTCTAAATTAATAACATGTTAAAATCTTCCAAATCTATGTATCAGCTATTCCAACTCAATTTTAGATGCCTCTGATCCAATACAATATTACGGACTAAGGTATTATGGACCATATCCTACTCCTGTATGGGTTTACATAAAAACATTGAGTGGAAAAATAGGTAAAACCTAGCGCTGGTAGAAATATTTTGAATGTTGATATTCTGATTTTTTTTCCCAAGGTTTAATGTTCAATTTTTAAAAGTATAAAACAGATATTGTTCAAACAGCTCTACAGTGGCTGGAATCTTTAGACTTCTAAAAGATTCTGATTAAATAATGATTTATGTACATGTGAGCTCTAGTGTGTATGTACACACACACACACACACACACACACACACACACACACACACACA